CCCCCCCAATGACTTTTGTCGCTAATGGTGTAGTACAAATTTCCGTTGGTTTGGAGCAAATTTTTTTAACTAAATGACAACGAAAATCTAATAGAGTTGATAAAAATGTTTTTTTTGCTTTTTGATTGTGATTAATGGGGTTTATAAGCAGAATTGACCAGATGCGAGTAAAGTGCAAGCCATCTTACCCTCGACGAAAATGATTGCGCATTGTATTATATCACGAGATTACTTTGGAACAGTTAAGATAATTGAAAACTCCAGGCAAATCACCTGATTAGTGACAGATAAACCAATTTTGCCAATAAGAAGTGGCTTGAAATTAAAAAAAGTTAACGATTTATGACTGTCACATGAAAGACAAATATCAGGCTATTTTTTACGTGAAGTTTTAATTGGAATGTGGTCTTCACAGATAAAGTGAATGTAGTAAGTAAAAAAGGGACGAAACTAGTATAAAATATTTGATAAATTCCTTCAAAATATGTGACAGATAGCATTTTAATTAAGCAGAGAAAATTATTCCTTACCATTTTTCAACTTTGCTTCTACCGCGAAATAAGGAAAAGATTTTCCTCTACAACTGTCAAATGTTCAATTTTAATGCAGCGTTTACTTCTGAAATTCGAAATCGTTTTGTCGGATCGGAATTAAATATGATGGTGACAAATTGTAGTGACGAATAACTCCGTCTGTGTATGATTGAAGACGTGATCACGGTGTTGGCAATGTGATTATGTCGGTGGCACAGTGGTCAATTCAGATGTCTCCCAAGTGAGATATCATGAGGTCAGTGCTCGACAGGGCTCCACCAGAGACGTGCTTTACAAATCACAAAGGTTATAGTTGCGATCAATAAGAGATGAGGGAAACCAATTTTTTATCCATATCGGCTCCATAATACCTTCTTTGTGACCAAGTCAAGCGGTTGTGAAATTCCTTCCATTTGGGTAAGAAAATTGGTAAATTAGTTTACTTCCAAAAGATTAGTAATTGTGTATCTCTGCTATGCCAAAATTATGTAAGCTGAAAGCTCATTCCCACTTTCAAATCTTTCTGATTAAAAAATTTGACCTTGAAAATTAAACACGCGGTCAATCAAGCACTGAACGTCGTAGGCAAGTACTCAGAGAACGATTCATGAAATGTAAATTTTGGTGAATTACCCAGTAATTAGATATTATAGCCATTAACTCCGAAGGACAAATGTTATATGGTCATTTGATGCCTGGAATTTTCTCAAAATATTCTCCCATTTCCCTCCTTAAATTAAAAATTATTATCTTTATTATTGTGATAAATAGCAAATTATGTTTAGTTAGTGACAGAATATTGATTTTTACTCCCTATTTCGTAAATGTGAAATTATGAAAAAATTAGTGAAACATGCCCACATTTAAATTCAAATTTTATAATTAAAAAACATGGGAAAATTAAACAATTATTCTGAATACTATGATTAGCTTTATATAAAAGAATTATGATTTGCCAAAAGTGGCACATACGCACAAACATTTAAAACTAACTGTTTTGGGAAATTATTTGGCAAATAAAACCGAAACTATTAGCTAGCCTCTGTCATCTTGTGGGTACAATGAATAAGTATTTGGGAAGTATAACTCTACCCCTTCCCAGATCGATCAAAGTAATATTGTGCAAGGGAATATTCCAGAAAGTACGACTCTGCTATCGATCGAATAGTGAGCAAATGCATTGAGTGTGTAGCTATAATGAGCAATAAGCATTCAGTCAAGATTGCTTCGAATATATGTATTGATTTACTAATTATATTTGCAGTTGGCTATAATCTGTAATACACGCCATTCGCGCAGTGTGCTCTCATACCCCGACGCCGATGACGTAGATTGACTAACATTGCTAAAAATATTTCATACACGAGGATTTTGACAGAGACGATTGTTAAGGCTTAGCCAAAGATTATGTCTGCTATAGGTACCTAAATGTATTTGAAAATGTCTTGACTACAAGTCTTGTAAATTGTGTAGCCACCAAGAATTTAACCATGGTGTTTATTTTTGCAGACCTGAAAGTTATGACAATTTTTCGTAGGCGTTAAGGGTGAAATTAAGGTTTAGAGTTACAGTACTTTTAGTAAATATTGTGAATGGAAAACGCCTTATCCTTCTTTGTGTAGCTAGACATAGTATGCCAATATTTCTCTAAAAGTCATCTTTTATGTAGGGATTGTGAAAGATGGTGAAATCAGTGCAAACTATCCAGTATGATGTTGCAAGGACTATGCTGAGGGACAGGTTTAACCTTGACTTAATCCAAAATGTGCTATGGGTCAGAACTCAACGTAGCATTTAAGTGAAATGCTTGTATCTTGAAATAACTGCATGCAATTTATTGATTAAATGGCCGCCATTTTATTTATTTAATATCCTCGAAAATCGCCTATCTTTCTTAATGCTTGCTCTTATTTAAAAGTCAATGACTTTTCTGAAAAATAATGTGCCCTACAATGGGGACCTTTTCATTTAAATGAATTAAAGCTCTCGAATCAAACGTGCAAAATACTACAATGGCGAAATCGCGTAGCCTTGCCGACGGTTGAAAATCAGTGAATTCTCGGCGGATGCTTTAAGGGCCTCGGCTCATTCATCGGAATATTTCGACAGCGTAAACAAACTTTAACCAATGAATTAAAAATAGGGTAAGCTAAGATTTTGAAATTCCCTGAACTTGCTTTATTTCTCTGTTCTTTAGAGAATATTTAATAGTAGATCAAAATTTTGGACAAGTCTGAACAAATATCCGAGGGACAGGACGAGTCGTTCAATCAAGACCTTTCATGCCAGAAAAAGGAAAGGAATTTACTACTTTTCTCAAACTGTATTTCTTGTTCTGAAACACAAACAGTACTGATTTAAAATATGGGGTGTGCGATAGACTTACCTTCACGTGGTGTACCCTGGGCAACGTATACTCATACGCCAAAAAAGTCTATAAACCGGCAGTTGACTTCTGACTTCAAACTACCATGGCCCGACTGTTTGTCATAGCCGACCACTACCACAGTACTCATCTTACCTTTTTGTCCGTCTGTCTCATTGACACCTGTGAATCACTCTTCTATTCCCCCACTCCACTTTTTATGACTTTGATGTTCCTCCACTCTGTAAAGCTAATGATAATTACCATAAAGCCTGCCGTTTGATAAAGATAAGTAAATTATAATAATAGGCAAATTAATCCACCAATGAAACTAATTCCCTGCGAAATTAAACAAAGCCACAGGTATAAAGGTGTGGGGCAAAAGGAGAATTGTAAATAGACATATGAAAGCGAGATGAGAAGGCACCGGTGGAAGGATTATAACAGAACATGATGTGCACCTGTTTTCAGCAAATGACTAATACCCAACCACATGGAACTAGTCTCCTGATTATTCTTGAACTAAAATGTAGTAATATTGTAATATTTTTATACTTTTAAAAAAAATAATTAACTATCTTTCAATCTATGCATGCCTCATGACAAAATTTGTAAAACATTCTTTTTTTCGTTTTATCAAAAATAGTATTAGAATGGTAAATAAGGTTCTCACATTGACACAATTCCTGGCAAGAGCAGCAAGTCCTGCATCCGTGATTTGAATGCATTGACTAATTTCCAGTACCCTCAACTCCTTGCATCCAGGAATCACCAGAGGCTTAGGATGTAGAGCCGAGGCAGATCCCGTCAACCAGCCCGAGGGAGAACTGGGAGTAGTGAGAGGGTAGGCAGAAGCGGAAGAGTGGCGATGCGATACGCCACCACTACCATTTGCAAACAGACCTCCGCCTGTTTCACTGACAGGTCGATGACGTGCTGACCGCATTGATCGACCATTCCCCGCGTGAGTTGATGTAGAGAGACCTTGGAATCCTCCACTGGAACCCGTTGGCAAAGTAATGCCCAGCATTTCCACCGCTGTGGTTGGGGGAAGGGTTCCTGCTAGGGCTCGCAAACCCGCATCGGTAATGTGACACAGGGAGATGAAGAGGGCACGCAGGAAGGGACAACCCATGGCAAGATGAATCATGGCTTCGTCGGTTATGTTCTAAAGATGGAGTGATAAACAAAAAACTAATATCAATGAAAGTAAAAGCAATGTGTAGATAGGGAAAAAATACCCATATATTTGGAGTCTTTAGACATAAGGCATAGTTTAGTTCTGTCGAAGAGTTACGGTTGACCGTAAAAATGGCATGCTGTGCTGTGGTACATGACGAAAAAATCAGTCCGAATTCAAGTGGGTTTAAAAATTGAAGGCTAATTGACACCAACCGCAAATGACATGTCAGCCAAACACCCCTTTACCTCTTAATATAAACAGTGTCTTGGAAACAACACCAAGCTCTGCTACTGAAGTCTATCAGTTTGACCAATTTTAAAGAAAAAAAGCTATCTCTTAAGACTAATAAACTGTAACTGGTATATTTGAGGGATCGAAGATTGTCTAAACTACCCAATACCAATTGGAACAGGAATGAGAGAGAGAGAGAGAGACGTAAGCTGGGTGTAGGGAACTAAAAATGAAACCATACGTAGACCTAACGTCCCGTAAATAATTTCGCGTTTGACATAGAGCACACAGACAAGCGCATGGCTATAAAGTTAACGGAAGAAGCGGTCAAGGACGCTGATAGCGGCGCTGCAATATTTGTTGACGTCACTTCTAGCATGAATCCACAAATACTCAGCAAACGCCACTAATGAGACCATCAAAATTACCATATTTCATAACGTTTGCGCTATTAACGAAGGCATTGGGATTCTAAAAGCATTTTGGCATTCGAGAACGTTTTGGCAAGTAGTTCGATGCTTTTGACAATTCCCAACCTGCGTGTGTATCATCTGACTAGCATTTTCATTTAATTTATTACTGGTTGGTATGACTTTTGCTTGAGTGCAACCAGTATGACAACAATCTCACTAAACACCAAACAAAAGTCGACAATAGAAAGTGCCTGACGACGGTCGAATAGATCCAAGCAAAATCCCTTCTAGGGAGAAGGGGACAGCCATTTCGTTTTTGCAAATGTTAAGGCTTTTCTGATGACTGAGACTTTATCATTGCTGCTGTGACAGGGAATATTTCGGATAATCGGCCAAATTGTTGTAAAGAACTATTCTAGAAATAAATTGGTGTTGAGAGTTTCTTCCATGGGCTTGATAATTTGAAATTAACCTTGACTCTCCATCAGCCTGTTCGAACTCAATAACAATTTTTAATATTCGATTTCGAAATCCTACACTTTCAAAATTATTGCTCAGCATTTCCTTAGTACAAAAAAATAATGATGACCGTGGACAAACTTATACAACTTCACTGCATAAAGAAAAGCAGTTGATCCCTATGCAATACGTTCCTGTTCTTTTCCATTGGTGTCAATGAACTGGATGCATGCACCGAACCTTTTTTTCTGATTCATTCGAGAAAGTGCGTGAGATCACTGATCCTACGTTGTAGCTTGAAGTATCTGCAATGATAACTATCTACAATTCTGGATCATATTGGCGCAGAAACATATCTCATTGTAGCGTGAATTTCAGCAGGCCATCGTCAAGGAGTATCTCCTTGGGGGAGACGATCCAATGGTCCCCGAACTTCATGCAAGGAAGGTTAAAACTGTCGTAGCAACTATTTGATCCCAGGAATGAATAGAGAGTTTGGACAAGACTTGAAGACGACATCTTCAATGAACGCATATATATTCATGGATTCCAGGAGCTCAAACTTCTCTGGGCTCAAACGGAAACAATAATCGATAATGCATACAGTCGGAAACACGCTGTTTCCATTCTCTACCCACTCTGTCAACTACTATCATATTGTTCAGGTAAGCGGCTGTGCCATTAAAAGTTCACCAACCACATTGTCCAGTATGTATTGGAAGATAAAAAGGGTAGTTTTACTTCGAACGGAAGTCGAGTAAATTGAAATAGACTCCGGTGCGTGTTGATGTTTAGATATTTATGGCATTATATTTTGACCTAGATTTGTAAATAAGCAGCCGATAAAATCAAATTCACAAAACGCGTGACACCATCGAAAGTTGTAAACTTATCTTCACCAACAGAAAGATGGTGGTTATCATCAAGAGTTACATTCAACCCAGTGTACAAATCGACACGTAAACCAACGCCACCGTCTGCTTTTCGAAAGATCTCAACCATTTGAGTAGGATATCGGTTGCAGGGTATTAATTTTTTAAAGACGTGAAATTTCTCTCTCTCCCTCTCTCTCTACGCGTTGTATAGAGAAGGAAACTGGAAAATTCAAACAGCTAATTGATTGGGCATTTTTTTCAGTTACAAATTTACTTTTACCGGGGCCAAGACAAAAGAGATGCCGTGTGAATACGGAAGGATAAAGTCATTTTAAAACCTAAATTTAAAAGCAATGAGTACGAATTTTCACGAATAACAACATACCGAACATTCAATACTTACAGCAAGTGTGCATGATGTACGTTAATACACAACTCATCTTGACCCAGGCTGACCTAGGAGACGCAAAACCGTCATCAAGATCACCTCTCTCATATTATACATTTAATTGGCAGACGATGTGAAGATTGGCATGTTCTCGTGCAAAAAAAAAATAGAAAATTCCCAAGCCCTAACAACAAAAAGTAGCTTGAGTTTAGACAACAGGAATGGGTGCCATGAGTAGGGGAGGAAATTAAGCAAGATTTAACCAACAAGGGCAAATGAAAGAATAAGCTGAATGATGGCATAATGACATTGAGTTTCAATTATGTTAGTGAGAGGTTAGAACCTTTTGACTACCACTATCTCGCAATCAAAAATAAAATAAATGGCAGTCGCATTTGCAAATCGAAGTGCATATAAAAGTGGAATCAACACACACCTGACCGCAATGGCTGAGATTGAGGAGCAGAAGGCCGAAGGAACGACTGGCGATGTGACCAACACCACGACTGGAGATATCATGACAGCCCATAACTTTGAGCTCCTTCAGACTCAAACATCCCTGTGCGATGGCTGCCAGGCCCTCATCACCCACTGAACACCAGGAGACATCCAAGTGAGTCAATCTCTCACAGGCACTACAAGTGAAAATGAACTATTAAGGCAGTTGTTGCTGTTAATTTAAACTGCTCAGTTAGGCCGTAATAAGATAACGATAAATCGATATTATAATCAACCAAGGTTTTGAACAACTGGAATACGAACGTACCCATGAACCTGGGGTCAAATCACAAAAATTTAAAATCAGGACTTAGCCCATTATAGCTGTTTTTCAGAAGAGAGTATGTACAAGCCATCCCTTATATATTTAAATTAAGTAACTATTGACAGCCTTAGTTAAAATGCCTACATCCTCTTAACTCCCATTTCTTACCCTTATTTAGGGATCATTCCCTGTTCCCCTTGTACTATACAAAGGAAATAATAGCGACAGGAAAGTAATACTACATTAATATGAGAAAAGTGGCACAATAAGGGGTCTTTCTAATTGAAAAAAAAATTACATCAAATATATCCTATGAATTAGTTGCTGTTAATTTACTAAGGCAAAATTGCAAATATATGCATATAACGCTACACTTACTTCAATTAACATTCCCAAACTATACAGATTCGAACTCTCTTTCTCTCTCAATGCAACCAAAGTGCTGAAGGAAACTAAAAACACCGCATTTGAAATTATTTTCGTCATGAATGCTGACACTTCCTTGAGGTACGTGATATTGCACATTTACAAAAACAATTTAATGCTAGAGCACCCAAGAAGCAATATTTACGTGTAAGAAACACAATCACCAAAATTCACTGGCATCTCTCTTAATGTGTAATGTCGCATTCTAGGCGCGAACTTCAGCTCATAAAGTCCAACTAATTCTATGCTCCACCAAACACGTTGCTACTGAGGAATCGGAAGTAGCCTAAGCTCATCCCTCTATGGAAGTATTTGTCAACACGCATACCAAATAGATCAACATGTGGGAGAGCAGTGTCCAATGAGAAAATAGTCGGACGGGATATGGTAACAAGATTATCGCCTCATCTACGCCACTAAGTGAACACTTGGAAGACGATTTGAAAATAATAAAGTCAATACTACTAACAATGGCAGAAAAAATATTCCGAACACCACGCATCTCCATTAAATGAAAATTTAGGTTTGCAGTGATCATAAAAAGTAGAGGCGCATAAGTTTCACTATTCCTAGAATTTCATAGGTAAATTAATAAAGGAATCCTTAGGAAAAACGATTTCCCACTGCCAAAACTTAAAAGCTCAAGTATTTTTGCTAATAATAAAAGTTCTTAAATGAATTAAAAAAACACCCCTGTGTATTTATTCGAAAGATGATTTTTATATAGAAATTTCAGACAAAATAAATCATTTAGTTTGAAAGAAAAAAAGTCCTATAAATTAAGACTATGTGCAAGGAAGTTTCTCTCGTATTTTTTTTAAGATTTGATGGCAAAGTAAAAAATTGGAGGGGGAATATTGAAGATAGAAAGTATTGAGTTGAACAGTCTTGAAAATAATAGTATAATTAAAATACCAACTTTCACTAAATAATAAAAGTAATGTTAATTCCTTTAGGACAGGTTACTTCGATGCTCACACCTTTCTGCCACCCTCTCTATAACCACTGTGGTTGGCCATTTCGCCAACCAACTAGTCAATCAAACACAATTTCTTCTTCAACATGCGGGGATTCTCCAAACAAGGAAACCAGGCACATCGACTTTAGTTTCAACGTCGCTTTCAGGACTAGTTCTATTCAATAAATTAAAATTGCGACATTTATTATTTATTATTTTAAGCAAGGCGTTTTATGAATAAAAGTCATGAAGATAATCAATATGTCATTCCTAGATTCGCTTTTACATTCTGCAAAACAACTCAAATGAAACGACTAATTTGCAGGTAAATTGCAAAATACCACGATGATGCATTGAAAACTTAACCGGACCTTAACAACTTGTAAGCAAAGTCCTCAACTCAAATGTTTACAACTTTTAAAGCCAGCTAAAAGGAAATGGTTAGGTTTTGCATGCAAGTGCATTTGCAAACCAAAATGGCAATGTCTTGTTAAAACTGATAAGTAAATGAAGAATATGGTTTGGGAAATACTTAAGTGATTATCTCCAAACATTAAGACGAGTAAGTTTGAGGTATCGATTCAGTCTATTTTTTCATTTAGTTAAAATATACTACAAACCAGAGACTTTATATATATCATTAAAACACACAATTCGCATTCCACTGTAGATAATTGTGAAGTCAAGCTAGCCTTGAGATCTGATTTACTGGCTACCATAGAGAAAAGGTGAGGATAGGCTAAAATTAAATACACGAGTAATTAAAACTTAACATAATTAAAATGTCTTACTAACAACTGAACGCGCTTGATCAATCCTCATAGACGGCATGACCAAAACATAAAATCAATGAACCTGCAGTCAAGCAACATAATAATAGCAGAACTGCTGAATATTAAAGTATATCCCCAATGAACTGCGTCCAATAGGTGAAATAGTAAATATAACCTAATAAATTTAGAAATCTCCATAAGACTCAAAGCCCCAACTTCAAAACTATCTTCCATTAGAAACCTTGAACATGTCTCTCGCCTTTAGACTACTTTATAGAACTTCTTGATCGGATACTTTCTCTAGATTAACTGTAGAAATTTGTGCTTTACTAAAAATATTACTGAAAGTGGAGATTAAATCACAATTCAGAGAACAAGTGGATGTTTTTATGAATGTGAGTTTACGGGAAAAGTTCTTTTTGGAAGCATTACATGAGCATCAAATGACACATAATTTTCACCTTATGGAACAAGTTATTACTAAAAAGTGTTATAAAATCTTGAACAAGATCGTAACATAACTTCCGATTTAGAGTATATGATAGGACGCGAGAGGGAGAGGGACGTTAAGAAGTGAGAAGAACCCAACACATTGGGGGAGGGAGGGGGGGAGTCAGATGTTGAGATCTTAAAAGTTCTCACAAGCATATTTCGCAATTACGATACTTATTCCCGAATTAGAAATAAGTTAATTCAACTGAAGGTTCTAAAACTGTGAGGTGTAAATTCAGAATTGAAGACCCTAAAAAAGAAAATTAAATTTCACGATATCAAAATTCGTGGATTCCAAGTAAGCGATAACGATAATAAAACCCGAGTTCTTACATTTTATTTCAAAAGAAGAAAAGAATTAGGAATAATTCGCTTAAAGAGAGCACTAAAATTGAGACAGAGAAGAAGTGAACTGGAATAAAAGTGTTAAAAAAGACCGCCGAGTCCTTTTCAACTAAGAATATTAAATAAGGAGCAAGTTGTATAATGTCCTTTGTGTTGGTAATAAACTATAAACTCAACTCAAGCGCGACGAAATAGCAGGTAAAGGAATTTTCTATTAGAAAAAGGGAAATTTGGACATCATACAAGGGTGCTTATTCATTCAAAAATATTCAACAAGGAAAAAATGAGTTCCTGATAGGAAAAGGAGTAAACGCTAACTAAACACGGGATTGGCTAGTTACATAATCTTACAGAGTAACAAGTGATCGCTTTATTTCACGGTTCTGGAGATGTGTAATGCGAATTTAAAGGAAGAATAAAAAATACTTCTGACACCAGCTCCGTTGGCTAATAAACAAGCATTTTAATGCGATTGAAAATTTTACGATACAATATAACTAGGACGTGCTGAATTAGGAATATAAAGAAAAACGAAAGAAAGCAATTGGATTCTAAAAAGTAGGTTCTCAACAAACAATGAGGGAGAAAAGTTGAAAATGAGGTCGAAACTCACCTTAACCATTTCATCCCAACATCGCCAATATTTGGACAGGAAGCAAGTGAAAGCTGTTGAAGTTCAGGGCAATTTTGCCCAAGATATTTACAAGCATCGTCAGTTAAATGTTGGCATTCTGACAAATCGAGGATCTCAATTAGCCGACACAAAACCGTGAAGCGTCTTAAGAATAAATGTATCAATACTGAAAAAACGAGAGAATACCTTATTGCATCATCATTAATATTACGACAGCCACGAAGTATCAGCTCTCTGAGAAAACCCTGACAACGTTGCGCTATTTTCTCCACAACATCTGGTTGAACATCTCGTTGAAAGTTGAATAAATTGGTTCTTTTCCAATTACTTCCATCAAAAGCACATTTATACCAAAACTATTATCGATCAATCGTCTTATGTTGAAATTTACCTTGCAGACTTGAGCACATGTACAAAGAGTTTCAATGTCAAGATATGAAAATATTCTAAACAAATAGAACTTTTGAGTTCAAGTTAAATTTACTTTAATATGAGTTCCCGGGGCAGGGCATCGTTAATACAAACATCACGCTACAGAAGCTTTAGTTATGAGTATATGTGATTACCTTTCGTTCAATTGAACCAATGTTACCATTAGAAGAAATCGGAAAAGCTGACATCTTCGTCGGAGGAATACTAGGTTAAACCATCAAAACGAGCATAAAAGTATTTGCAGTGCACTATGAGTGTAATGTTTCTGTCTTAAATGACGGATGACAAAAATTCTCTATCATTTCCTTGAAGGCAATGATAAGAAGTATAAGACGCTGATCAGCTGTGATAGCCTTAAGTACTATTTTTCGACTTAAACAAAATAAAAACCAAATAGTAATTTTATTCATATCATTTAACTATAAAACCAGAATTTTTTATTTTATCTCCTGTTTACAGACCGCATTCAAAAATAAAAATTAATTGTGTTTAATCAAAATTAGAATACAAATCAAATAAACTAAAAATTAGCACACTAATTCTAATTTCAGTCGAAGATACTATTTTACCAATTGCGCGGAGCTAAGAGAACAGAACTAATAAATGTAAATCTTTCCACTTCTGCTTAGGTTTTCTTAAGTTTGTTTATGATCATATTGCTCTCCTAACTTTGCCTATTTTTCGGACCTAACTTGAGATAAAAATCTCAATAATAAAATATTTCAATAGCTTTCTTTGAAAACGATATTTCTAAACCGTCGATTAGGGTTAGTGAGATTCACCATGACATGTTGAGCAAACAAGTCACTGAGACAAAAATATGGATAATCTGTTTAAACGGGAATAAAGTAGTAATATCTAAATACAGATAAATTCGATATATGTTTCTATGGTTCTGACCAACAGTGACTAAAAATTCTTTATGGAAAAAACTATGAAATAGTGATTTCCCAGAAATTGGAAGTGTCAAGTGTACTTCACCACATCCTACTTACTACAGACTCAACAAGGTTTTTTCAGTATTGCCAATAGAAAATTCCCAACAATTAGAAATATTTTAAAGTTATAATATTCGTAATTCTGCCAAAGGAACTGCCGGTCAAGATTTATTATTCATACAATAACTTGGTTATATTGATGATGATAATCCATTATGAGATTCGAACTTAATAAGGTATGAGACATAACATTAGTAAACCTATCAATTACTCCGAAAAGAACGCGTTTTGATTTTGCAGTAATGTGACCTTTTGACTTATTTATCTTTTATTTAAAAATTTTATGGACATTTCTACTTGTTGTATTGTTTTAAAGTAGCAAGTTAAGTTGACGACTGACCTTTAGGCGGTGCGTCTTGTTGTGCGCTGAAAATGTTTGGGGATTTTAATCCTTCTACCTGTGAAACAACGGGTATATGTATCTTAAAGAAAGCTGACGATATAACACCCAATGAATCCACCACATTAAGCCTTGAAAATAGAAATCTGATTGAAATACCTCAAAAGATCTTGTGCTTGAATCAATTGAAGCATCTTTCACTAAATGGGAACTGTATACGTGTATTACCAGAGGAATTTTTCAAGGCATTTCCGCACTTAACTTGGCTAGATCTTAGATGTAATAAACTTGAATATATTTCCCGTGGCGTTGTTAATTTATCTAGTTTGAAAAATCTTCTTGTTAGTAACAATAATATACGCCGTCTCTGTATCGAACTCGGAGGCATAAATAGTCTGGCGGGACTTAATATTGGAGGAAATCCTATTGAGTTTCCCCCTAGAGATATTTTGTCCAAAGGTACGAGCTGTATCATACAATTTCTTCGGAAGTGTTATTCGAAGAGGCTCGAATTAGAAAGTAACACTTGGAATTATTTTACACAAACGGGCCTTTTAATCCTCTAACTCACTTTTAATTTATTTACATGAAGGACTTGTATCTGATGAAATGTTGGAAAATAATTTAGTGATTAATGGTGAAAATGATGTCGTGTTGGAAAAATTAGATCAACTTGCAATTGAAGCTGCTATTAATCAGATGAAATTGGATGAAAATGAGAAACCCGAGAGTAATCCCCCATTATATGAATCGAAGTTGTATCGTCGTCTCAAGAGAGAGATGATTTCCTTTAATAAAGCAAAAAAGTTAGTTTGATTTTAATCAATAAATGAATGAAGTGCCTTTAGGGGGTCACGTTACCTTCCACGTCAGTCAGACAGAGAAGCTTTTCTCTACCAGGCAAAAAATAAATTAGTCTCTGCTGAATCGATTCACAAGGCTGAATTGAGTGAAATGCGTCAACTTAAATCCAAGTTAGAAAACATTCGACGAGACCGTGTACTGCAGCGACTTAAGCAAGTCGATTTTTGCTGTCTACTTACTAATGATAAGTAGACTATAACATTTATTTTTACTCTAGGAATAAAGGAGCCATCGACGACTGGAAAGTTAACTATAGGTTAAAACAATCTAATCTATCAGATATCTATAAATATAAGCCTCGGGAGGAAATTAAAGAAGGTTAATTAATAGGTGTGAGTTATTTTAAATTTATAGAATCCTTGATTCGTATTCGGATAGCACCTTATGACATTAATGATGACGAAGTGTCTGTAATGAGCCAATATGATTTAGAAAAAATGAAATCGGCCCCAAAACCTGGTATTTCAAATGCACCACGACCAAGACCAAGAAGTGCAGATTCTGTTCTGAAATTAGAGATGGCAATGTGAGATACATTTACCATTATCATGAAAATACTTCATAGACGCAACAAGGAAAAAAATCTTATTTATGATGTTAATAAGCAAGCTGAACTCTTAAATCTGAAGATTGAGAACCCCTGTCTACCTCTCAGTGTTTCGGATGCGGAGGCGGATTTGGTCAACGTAGGTCTCCGCTTAAGTATTGAGAGAGGCGTTGAGTTTCTATATAAAATACCGTCTTTAATTTTAGGCTCTACAGTTGCAACTAAGGCTGAAAAATAGGCAAGATGTAATTACACAATTAAAAATGTCAACCAATCCTACGGCCTTCTTGATGTGAAAGGCATCTTACGTTTAGAGTATCTGCGTAAAAATAAATCATATATTCAACATAGGCCTAAATATATACCACATTTTGTGTATTTGGTTTTAATAACCTCACAACTGAATACATTCATAAATTTATTATAGTTAATGGGAGAATATTCAATTTTCTATTTCATATGCCGAAATCGCTTCCATTAAGGCTCACTCGTGTCGCCATTTGAGCTAGGAAACTTTGATTTTCTAGCCAAGAGTTTTTACGAAACGCAGACTTTCCTGCATGCATTTATGCGGCTTCAATAGTAGAACTGGATGGGCATTTGGAGTTTTCTGTTCAACGGGGTTCGTGGAAATTGCGACAACTTACCGGCAAATTGTGTTTGGATGGAAGGATTGAACGTTTAGATTTGAAATGCTAGGTAATCTTGTTTAGCTACAAGCGGTATCTTATAGATAAACAGTTTGGTTAAATCGAATCAAAAGGAGCAAAAGTGAGGTTAATGGATCTCAGTACGCTGAAAAATTAAGGTTACCATTTATTGATTGAATGCCTACAATCACAGAAATTTGGATCCAAGTGATCTTATTTTCTCTCCTGAGGTGGACAATTTTAACACACACACACACACACACACACACTCGTTAATAAGCCTGGCGGCATTAACGGATTTCGAAGCATGCCAGCATTAGTTTTAACTACAACTCATTGTTTTTTCTTGCCCCCCCCCCCCGCCTCGCCCTCCCCAGAGAACATGGTAGGCATTTCATAGCAGCCTAGAATCAAGTCCACTTTGTCTCCAGTTAATTTTCCTGTTTTCTTTATCCTTTATCATTGTGAAATGAAGTGACTTCAGACAACAAAAGTAGGACTGCTATGTTGTATATCAAAGAATTGGAATCTAATCGCCTTACTTTTCCACAGTTCATGTAGACAAATATACTGTTCAATCAAATAACTAGCAGGCACCACCACTCCAGAGTCTTGAAATCAGGTCATTTTGCTTCATGTTACTCTCTCTCTCTCCCTCTCTCTCTCTCTGTACTCGAATTTGGTGTCTGTCCTTATCAGGGGCAGGACAAAATTCGTTTCGATTTGAAGTTGCCTCCAAACCCCGTTTTCAATGTTAATTTGAAATAAAACTTTAATTTAAAGTCTTTTGTTTAAAAAATATCACCTTAGAAGCAGATGCATCTATTGCTTGATTCTGATGCTAATTTTGGTCAGTGTTACAATTATTGTCGAAACCTCAGCTCCTTTCCATCTCCCCCCCCCCTCCCTCTCCCTACACCACATTTCTGCGGTAGGCTTAGTAAAGATTAATTGTTTCTTGCTGACCTCCCCTCTTCTCAGTCTAGACTTGAGGTGAAATGGGTTTTGACTATCACTGATGTGTCCATTTTCTCAACAAAAACCACAGGTGATCGTGGGATGCCTAGTTTGGGAGAGGAATCGACAAAGATTTTAGAGGAGGGGGGGGGGGGGGGGGCGNGGGGGCGTGACATAAACTTGATTAAATTAAATCTCGGCTAAATCAGACCTGAAGATTTGAGAGATTGGGGGGTGAGGATGAATGAGAGAGGAACAAATCTGTCGAGAACCAATTGGTTGAGGCTAAATCCGCTACCGTCACCGGCGTATTAATTTGATGTTGATTAATGCCATCGAGGATGGGGGGGGGGAGGGGTGGAGGATTTTTCACTTTCCCAATTTGGTGCTAATTAATTTCAACTTTTTCAGTGCTTCTAATTTGAATACTGAAAGTACAATGACAGATACAACAGGTGCACATTAAATCAGTTTATGGTGTCTTATCTTCAATAGCTTACCTAACTTGAGGATTCATCGCATACTTTTTCAAACTGAAATTGAATATCTCTTAATTTATTCTATTTTCATTTATTACGTTAGAAGATTACCACTTAATGACAACCACAGAATAGTAACTCAAAATTTTATAGTTGATTAAAATAGATTCATAACTAACTACTGTCTGTTCAAAAACTAATCTGATTTATAATGTTGGATATTTAGCTGGGAAGCAAAGCTTTCCTGGAAATTGGGAATCTTGAGCATTCTCAAATTAGATTTAAGTTCTCAGTTGAAAACATTTTATTAGCATCTACTGGCAAGGGAGAATTATCTGCTAATTTTATGAAAATAAGTTGCGTCTTAGAAGCCTTCAGAAAGATAAACTTGTTGACCTTTTAAAGTGTTGTGTCGTCGGTCGCTGTTATGAGTACTCATTGCCCATAAATTTAGTTCGCTGTTAAAGCTGCTAGCTTTTCCCCTTGTCCGCAAGTGGCATTCTAAATACGCAAAATTCAATCCAATATCCGAGGCCTATCGACAGTGCCAAGGGGAAGCAAGTTCAGATTTTCGACAAGAACATCAAAGTCAAACGACATTTGCAACAAGTCATGCTTAACTTAAAGGGAAAACTGGAGTTGACAATTCCCACTACAGTGTGAGGTTCAGGTACTTAAAAGTTGACTCCATTTCTGAAATGTTAGACAAGTTTAGCTGTCACGTTTGCTTCATTTGTTACCATCAAAAAAGGCACTTCCTTCTTCTCATTCGCTCAACCGGGGTAAAATTCTTTTCCTTAAAAGCTACGGTTAGGTGTATTCTATGGTTACCAATAAATGTCATCACCTTTGGGTAGCTTCTTAAAGACATGGCCAAGGATGAATACAACCCACTTGTCTTGGAACTTTTTTTCACCGACCAGTATTTGCGCCTTAACAAAAAGAACATTGAGGTAAGTTGATTTGAAAAGGGCGCTTTCACTGTGCCTGTGCTGTGATTTGATATGACCAGGGAAAAAGTTCCCTTTCCTCCTGATGAAAAGAGTGCACTTGTAGTATAAATTTTGTGGGAAATGAGAAAGGTGTTTAAAAAATCATCTCACTCCCATATCGGATTTGACATTTTGGGTTTTTAGATTGTCATTTTAATAAATACACGTGTATTTCTAACGAAAATATCGTCTGTTTAAACGAAAGTGCACTAAAATTAAGACGAATGGAATAACCGCACTGCTGTGGATGAGAAAACAAAGTTAATCAAATTAAGATTCGTTTATTTTTGTATCAATGTACAACACGATTTGAATTCAGATTTTTTTCGATGTTAATGCGAAAGAGATTGATTAATTGCATTGCACATTTTTTACTAATAGAAGTCACAGAATGCTAACCAGAATTAAGTGAACTAGTGACGCAGTGGCTAAGAGGTCCATTACGAAGTCTGTAGTTAAACATGTATTTTCACCTGGATGCATGCGGTGAAGCGAAGTTCTCAACAGAGCGACTGTTTCACAGGCAAACCGTCAAGTTGATGTACTTTATTAGTATAATCAATTCATATATTGGTGCGAATAATGAAGGCATTGATTTTTAACCTCCCACATAATGCAGAAACATTATTGGTATCCTTTTTTGATGCATACGATTTTAGCCCCAATCCCTCCCATAATAACAAGTCTTTAGTGACGGTTTATTTCCCAAGACAGTTGAACGCTCGTATTTTATTTAAAATATTTGACATCTTGTGTAATTGTGTTCCAATTCGTTATACCATAAGCATCAGTCTAGGTTCCAACTACTGAATAACATTACCCCTAATTATCATATTTATCAGCTGCGCATACGCGCCCTCCTCCTCTCAAGCCTTAGGTAGACCGTGTATCAATCCTTCCCAATGTGCTTTACCGCCAATTAAGGGGAAAGTTGTGCACCATTGCTCTAGCAATCAGAGTATTTTGAGGCGTTCTTTCATCTGGTCTGAAGGCGAGTCATAGCACCTCAAACATTCCCAGTTCTGTGTATTCCTTTCTCCCTCTAACTCACTTTAGATGAAGGAGAAAAGAAGGGTCTTTTTTCGTTTTCTACCCACCCCCCC